ACATATGCTACATAATTATAACTCCCACGATCCATTCCATTGCATGCAGCGCAAGTTGAGCGATGCTGATGACGTTCATTACGTCATATAATAGATCATGTTTATTCATGACCGCCCGGCCGCGATTTTTTTTTCCCCAAACAGGTTTACCTATGAGCGTAAAATCCTGCCTCCTGATTGGTTCAGAGGTATACGCATCATGAATATTCATGAGCTGAGCTCACAGAACTATGGCTGAGCTGCAAATGCCTAGTATATGTATTACGCATGCGCGTGGACTTCAGTTTCACTAGCCATTTTGGGTGTACAAAATGTATGTGAGCTGTGGTGCGAGGGGATTTTTATTGGGGGAAGGGGGGGGGTGTCTGTGTGTTTGTGAATATTTCTGGTTGTTTTGGTGCATGTTTGGTTTGTATAGTTTTTCCCACATCTATTTTTTACACTGCGGATTTTTTGACAAAGAGTTCACTTATAGTACACACACAAATATTCCAATTTCACACATAGGCTATGCATACAAACACTCTCTTTCTCTCTTTCTCTCTGTCCAGTGGAGTGGTGGATCCAGGGTCAAAGGGGCACATGCCCCCCCCCCCCCCTGTCAAAAAACTATGTTAAAATCAGCCCTAAATTCGCCCAAAATATACTGAAAAACAGGGACGTGCCCCCCCCCCCCCCCGGCCCAAAAAAATGTATTGAAAATGTTATGTAAACAAATATTATAAAAAAATAAAGAAAATATGCCAATGGCTGATCTAAAAAGGTGACCTTACCCCCCCCCCCCCCCCCCCCCCCCCCCAACGGAGCAAAATGTCAAATTTAAAAATTTCGTGACCAAAAAGTTTCCTCTTTGCAATAATTTGAGCTTTCAACAATAAATACAATCAGCAGGTTCCTATTTTCATGAATTTAAGCTTTAAAACATCCCAATTTTAATTAAAACCTGAACTCTCACTTTTTATTCTCAGATTCAGACGCCGCCATAATTGCTCATGTAAAAGTTACATCTTTGAACCAATCACTGCGCATGCATGCAGTGTACATACGTAAGTACACAATTAGCTAGCATATAGCTGCATGCTATGAGCAGCTTCGACTTGTGTCACGCGCATGCGTAATACTACTAGTAACTTTGCAGCTCAATCATGAATATTCATGATGCGTATACCTCTGAACCAATCAGGAGGAAGGATTTTACGCTCATAGGTGAACCTGTTTGGGAAGAAAAAAAATCGCCGCCCGGCCTGCCCCTGGCATCTTCATACGCTACTATTGGAAAGCCATAAAACCACCAGTATCCTCATCTTGGAGTCAAAGCTGTTGATACGGGCAAACCAAAACGTCATACACTGAGCAGCACAAAGGGTGGCCGTTTGCAAGACTCTCTACAAATAGAGTAAACCATTGGTAAGTTACGTTTTGTGGACGCAGTGATGCCAATTCATTTTCAACAACTGTTCTAAAGTGTTCGATCACGATGGTTAGCGCGGAGTCAATAATTTAATGACCCTTTAAGTTTGCATACGTTCAAGAATATTTACCTCAATACGTACGTGACCCCTTTTTAATTTCACAAGTACAAAATGGGAACTATATAAATTATAGGTCTAACCCTATTTTTGCTTATTGAGTACACATTCAAAAAGAGTGCCATGTTTTATTTGCAACATACACACAAAACAAACAACAAGATACATACCCATTCACATGTCGATCTGCGAAGTTTGCGAACATCGATACTGAGAATATGAAGCTTTTCCTCAAATTAATTGATCTTTACAAAGAAATACCCGTTTTCAAATTCGTGAACATTGAGCGCATTGAATAACATTTTATTAGATTTTGTGATTTTTAGATCTAAGAAGCACTTAATTTTCAACCGGGGTGCCGGTTGAATTTGAGAATTTGAGTAACACTTTTAAAAAATCATTTTTGGGGAATAACGTCGATTATGTGAAAACCAATTTATTAAAAACCGTTAGAGTATGTTATTTCATGAGGAAATAGCATTTTGAAGGTGATAGAGTGTCTTTGTTCGTCGCTCGCTTCACTGCTCACAACTTTTAAAAACAGGATGATTTCTGGCAGCGTAGTGCCTGAATACCTTCATCGTTGAGCAATGAAGTGCCCATTAAATAGCCTTTTATTTAATAGAGAGTTGCCTGAATATATATTACATCCTTTATATCAAATTACATTTTGACCACGCTCGTTTGTTTCACTCGCTTGCAACATTTAGAAAGATGATAATTATTCTGACCAATGAGAAGCCCGAATCTCTTCATGTTCGTGCATCGAATTGACCGCATCAAATGATTTTGGCATTCATGTTTTCTGCAGCGAGATGCTCGCACTCTTAATTCTATATTTTATCACGTGTGTTAATCATAAGGTACATTTGTTATCATAACAAAAGTATCATAATTTTTTGCTCGCTTGCTCCGGTCGCTCGCAAAATTTAGAAGATAAAAATTGCCAAAGTGTAGATGGTACTTGACGCGTGTTAGAGGGATCCTAACTGAATCTTCTGTAAAGTATTTAGGAATGGGGTGACGATAAACTGTTTCATTTCTTTGAAAGAAGTGTCATGCGGATTATTTAAAAAAAAGGTTGAAAAACGCTGCTTTAGCCTGTATTTACATGTAGGCTTTTTAGTGTTTGCAAACCGCCATAAAAATTATATTTATTTTACGCGTAACTTATAATAATCATGCGTACGCATATAGTCAGTGTGAAATGTAACCACCGGAGGCGGTGTTACACAGAAAAATCCCTTAAAAAATCCCTTGAAAAATCCTTTCAAGGGAGAATTTTCTTGCTTCGTTAGTGGATTTTTAATGAGATAATTTATGACAGACAGCAATTAAGAGGATAACTAAAATCCGGATAACTAAAATCCGGATTTTTGGCCTCTGCGTGACACCGCCTCGGGAGTGGCAATTTCTTGCATACAAATATTACAAAAAAGCAGGGACGGATTAGCTTTTTGCCAAGGGGGGGGGGGGTTGACCCAATGACGATGCAGAGCATCGTCTACGAGCCGCAAAGCTGCGATCCGATTTTTGTTGCTATTTTGAACGCCCGTAAGTGATGTTTTCTTGGCATGTACTAACATGCGGAGCATCGTCCACCTTATTTGCTTAAAAAATAAGAATTTGATCAATTTCCACCCTTAGCACGTTTGTTTAGTTAGTTGCTTTATCTACTTAAATTGTTTGGGTTTTTTTCTCGAAAATCTTTGCCGTCGTGTTTGAGAAGATTTTTCAATATTTGTTTTCTTCACACAGAATCGTTAATCATGTTGGCAGTTTGTCTCCTCACTTTCATCGCAATGTCGATTACCGCAGTCCCCGCCACGACCCCGACCCCGACCCCTACCCCACAGCCCCATAGTGTAATTCAACAATGTGAAAGTGAGTATTTCAATAGATATATTAATTTATTTGTATATGTGTATTTGTGAATTTAGTAGACTATGTATGCAAGTATTTATTTATCTATTCATTTATTTATCTAGTTGCGCATTTATTTATTTATTTATCCATGTTTGTTTTGATTTTGTTTTCATCTATTAACATATCTATCAATTTATTTAATAATCTATCTGCAGGCTTAGAGTGCCCCACCACTACTATATTAGAAGAATTTGGTTCAAATATGTGGAAGAGACGGTTAGAACCAACTGTATGGGCGTATAAGGTCGCTCCAACCTGCAACCAATCTGCAGCAACAGGTTTAGTCTTCAGTTACCTCCAATCCTACTTTGTGGGTAAGCTTTGAGAATCAGACTTTTGTACATTTTGTTATAATTCCGAAGAAAGCATAGAACACTTATTTTGAGATTGCCAAATTTATAAGAAGGTTTATCCAAAATTTGATTTTAGATGATAAAATTACTTTAAATAAGGTCAACTTTTTTTTGGATTTTATGGAAGTGAATGAATTCGATCTTATTTGATTATCTTATACGCCAAATACTACACGCTTTCCATCAAACGTAAATTTAGCTTATCGTTGATCAATTATTTCAAAGCCATTTTAAGATATTATCGTTCATTACGATATTAAACCTATGTTAAAAACAATAAGTTTAAACGGGTATTTGATAATAATTGGAAACATTGGTTAGCTGCTGTAAAACAAAAACAAACAAAAATTAAGTTTATGTGCACTAGCATAATGCATTCTACTCCTAAAAAAGACGTACCCAATCGGATTTAACAAGTAATTAATAATCATAACTAGGCAATAAATTGATAAAATCAAAATTATCTTCTTCATAATTTTTTGATCATTATGTCTTGATGAATTTCATCTATTCGAATTATACATGGGGAAAACCTTTTCGGTTTTTTTTTTTAGTCTCGTTTGATTTCCTACGTCTAGCTTTTCTTTACGTTAGCTTTGGAAGAATATTGCCATAATTTATGTATTCGTATATTGTGTGTACAATGTACCTCTAATTATTAAGAATAATATATAGTAAGCATTATCCAAAATAGAAAATAGCAGCCCAGTCGCCTATTTCCTTATCTATTTGAATATAAAAGCCTTTTTAAAGAGAAAGTAAGAGAAAAGATATGGAGGGGAGGAGGGGCGGGGAGGGGGACAAGCCGAGGGAAGAAAATGGAATGAGGACTTCTACATATATCTTACTATGCCTACTTTATCTTTTTTAAATAAAACAAACAAGAAAAATGACTCCCTCTCCTCCTTTAAAATATTGGCATAGATATCATTTTAAATCAGTCATTTGACATGGGATAAAAGTGAAGATGGCAGATTAGATTTTGAACTTCCGCTTCCTAAAATGAAACGGCAATTTACATTCCTTTTTGGCAATGTAATATTCCGTTTCTTTTTGTAATCTTGATGAATTGTTTCAAGCCAATGTGGGAGGGATGTATACTATGGCACTTGTAAAGATAAATATTGTATTAGGCCTGCTTCGTAATTTTATCAACATTTCTTTCATGTCGAATTGTTTTGCTAGACAACAACATAAATGAGTCAACACCAATCATTTTGAAAGTCGCGGAAAACATACCCGGGCCAAATTCTTCGTGTACCGGCCAATCAGGATCTTTCCCGTGCTGTGACCAAATCTACGAACTTTTCCACTTCATCCCTGTAGCTTCGCAAGAAACCGCCCCAATCCCATCACAGGTACAAAACTAAAAGCCCAGGTAGTGTATCCCTTTTTCAGCCAACATCAAATTATGTAGAACTTTGCAGGAATTATGAATATAATATACATAATAATACGTATATCCTATCGGTAATATTTAAACGTTAGCAGTGTCCTAGTATTCAAATTATGCAAGGAAACTCGTTTACTTTCTACACTTCACTGTCAGACACTAGTTGAGTGACTGACTGACTGACTTCTTTTTTTTCTGTGGTGATAACATACAGTAGCCTACATGAGCATTTGTCTACATCCATTACACACTTCTTGTAATAGCCAAAATTAAACTGATTGAATCTTTGCGCAGCACAAAACGTACGACCATTGGGTACAAGGGTCTGAAAATCAGACTATTTAATTAAACGAGTGCGCTCGCTTAATTCGATTCAACAGACATTTTCAAGTCCTTTTATTTTAAAGGTAAAGACCAGTATTGGAAACGCCCCAATTTCACAAAAAAAATTGCGCCGGCCGCCAAGGGATCATGGCAGGACGTACTAGTTCCCGACAGCATATAAAGCAGCCAGACCTCGAATATTAAAGCAGTCGATATACCTTTTATATACCGAAACATAAATATTGAAACAAAAATCTATCATAAATTCTTACCTTATCCATTTATTGAGTAGAGATTGGTTAAAACATCACTGAAATTCTGAGACACTGTCTGTAATCTTTGCTTTAAAAATGACTGAAATTACAATCATTGGGAATCGCAGACAAAAGCACTGTATGGTGTCCGGCTCGCACAAGGAACATTTTAACACGCAAATTAATGGGTATCGCAGCAAAATTTTGCTATTTTAATGGTAACCGGAGTTTTGAGGGATCTCACTCTTGGACTAAACCGGTATTGACATTTTTCACGTCTCCAATTCCGACCAATCAGACGGATGGATTTCTTATAGCTGTAATTGATATGGCACGTTCCGCCTGCCATCCCTGCCTGGTCCGCTATAGTTGCTGGCATCCTTACTTTCTAATTAAGCTATCCTTTACATCGGCAGTTTTGAGGATCTAAGGACTAGTTATTTCTTTCTTTCTCACTATCATCTTGTTGAAAGGCAGTGACGGCCCAAATGTTACTTAAATAATCTTGAATAAGGCTGAACCAATCGGGGGAACGTTTGAAACCCCCCTCCCCCCCCCCCCCAAAAAAAAAGCTACAACTTCTGTTTGAAAACATGATAATCAACGGGAAATGTTTCAAATCTATTAATCTCTTTGAAAGATTGAAGTACAAAATGACTTGATCTTAAGTCATTTTGTTCAGTAGAATTAATCGATATCGTGGCTTTCATTTTTTCTAAAGGACTCTGGGATTCAGCTACTGCACTTCGATGCTTTTGAGCTCTACGGCATCACCTTTCTTGGGCCCAATCACAATGCGGTGGAGCAATACGAACAGCTTCGTGAATACCTCGACGAGCAGGGCATTTTATACTATGGAACCTTTTATTATATTGCAAGTGAGTAATTATGTAGTACATATGGCAATCATCCACTGAGGAAATTTTTCCCGATAACCGTCCTCTCAGGACAACATACAACAATACTATTATTATTTTCTTTATTGTTTGTTATTGTTGATGGTGATGGTGATGATGATTACTATTATTTATTTTAGTAGTAGTAGCATTTATTATTATTATTATTATTATTATTATTATTATTATTATTATTATTGTTATTGTTATTATTATAATCATTATTATTATTACTGTCATTATTATTATTATTATTATTATTATTATTAGTGTTAATCATTATTACTGTCATCGTCATCATCATCACATCATGCAGTTGTCGTGGTATAGTGGTTCATTCACTCAATTTATATCCAAGGGTTGAGGGTTCAAATCTCAGCGTGCCGGCACTAACGTCCTTTGGCCAGACACTAATCCACGTGTGCTACTCTCCACCTCGGTGTGAATGTGTAGCTGAAAACAAGTCCCTCGGAGAGGACCTAAAGCCTTCGGTCCCCTCCTTGCTTCCTTCAAACATACACATGGCTTTTTAGCAGTCCGGTAAAACAAACAAACAAGCAAACAACAATAACAAATTGCAGGGCCATCAGGATGACAAGCGTGAAGCTGATGAGGCTACGTATACCCTTAGTTAAGAAAAATTAAACGTACAAGTAATTTGATGTACTTATTTATTTATTGTATTTTTCTTACAGTTTATGACTTTCCATCGGACCCTCAGCCTCATCGTACTGAAATCCTGATTTCTATTTAGAAACCCAGAAGAATGAATAATATGAAGGCACCGATAACCCGAACGACAGCCCAAGAAAACCAATGGGATCGCAGTGGGCGTGGTGGTGGTCAAAGACCACACCTATCTCATTCTGTTTTGAGCTGGTCGGCAAACGGCTCCAACCAAGATTTTAATGATTTTATGCCATTTCATTTCATTTCTTTCATCACATATGATAAGATTAGCTAAAGAATACAAAATAAATACAACTGCGAAGCACTCGTTTTTTTTTTTTCTTCACATTTCCAAGGTGTATAATCATAGTAGTTTTCTATCTTAATTTATTATGAGATAAAATACAGTGCATGCTTTGCTTTTTAACTAGTTTTGAAATACATCATATTATAAACCATTTCCAAGGCGTATAATCATGAAGTAGTTTGCTATCTTAATTTATTATGAGATAAAATACAGTGTTTTGCTTTTTAAGTAGTTTTGAAGAAAAAAATCATATTATAAACAATTTCCAAGGCATATAATCATAAAGCAGTTTGCTATCTTTATCTATTATGATATAAAATACATAACTTTGCTTTTTAACTAGTGTTGAAAAAAAATCATATTATTAACCGTGTCAGACATCTGAGCAAGGCAATTTTCAAGTTTTTATTGATAAGCCAACAAAACTACGGGCGAAAGAAATATTATTGAATAATAATACACAATTAACCAATGAACAAATACTTTTGCCCGATCACAAAAGTCAACGGCAAAATGCGTGTTAAACTAGCGGGCAATAATGTAGAGCCAACATCCAGGTATTTGTAATTTTCATTGCGCATATATTAACTGCTTAATTCAGGGCAATACGGCTTCTCATATCCATACAGTTGTATATCACCCTCACCTTCGGTTCTGGCGATTATGTCGTATTGCCCTGAAGGCAGTCAATATTATTTAATTATTATCCCAGTAATATGACGTATCATAATCAGCATGATCAGGGAACCATATTTTCCGGCATTGTCCATTTCAGCCGTTTCGTGGTGTCCCATTACCATATACATGTAGTTTCGTTATACCCTGTAAATATATTCTTTTCAGAAATGGTAACAAATTCATTCATTCGTTCGTTTTTCCGAAAGTTAAATTTTCCAAATGCTCATGATAATCCGTAGGTTCATCATCATAATTATGGTTATTCCTAAACCCAAATTTCCCATACCAGGGGGTCATAATTCCGAAAAAATGAAATAGGGTTTCATACATTTTGTTGCGTTATTCCGAAGTTTCGTTTATTCCAAAAGTGAAATAGGGTTCATTATTCCGAATGTCTATACTTTCAAAAATGATAATATAAGTACTGTATATCTGTTTGAGATATAGTGTTTACGTGTAATATATAAACATGACGTAATCGTAATGTCGTTCTCTTTGGTATAGTTTTTCTCGGATTGGTATTGGAATTTGTTTGGGCCTATTGATTAATAAATACTTCTACCCGCATATTTCTCTGCATTCAATTTCTTTACACCTCTCTGCGAAAATCACAGGTATTTATATTGGAGATAATGATGTAGATTATGTTAATGATGATGATGTTGATGATGATGATGATGATGTTGATATGATAATGATGATGATGATGATATGATAATGATGATGATGATGATGATGATGATGATGTAGATTATGATAATGATGATGATGTGATGATGATGATGATGATGATATATAATGATGATGATGATGATGTTGATGATGAAAACGATAATGGTGGTATAATAGTAGTGGTGATAATGCTGATGATATATTATTGTGACGATGGTGATGATGATGATAATAAGGAGGCGGGGGAAGGGTACGACATAGGCGCCGGAAGTGGGCTGGCGGGGGGGGGCACTTGCCCCCGCCTCTCCACCCCACAACCCGAACCAAAACAGTGGGGTTGGGGGGTAAGAAAAGCAGTAAAGGAGTAAAGATGGTTTGTATTTTTAAACCCAAAGAACATAACAATAATAAAACAAACCTGAATTAAATCACATATAAAATTCCATTCAAAGAAAAGTTAACAGGAATTAATTTTCCTAAACATTCCGCATGCCACCCATATCAATGGAGGTTTTCATATTAGGGATACGTGCATATCATGAGCCCCTGAACGCTGGCGTACTGATGGGGGGAGGGGGGGTACACAGTGGCGGATCCAGGGGTGGCCGAAACGGCCGCGGCCCCCCCTATTGGCGGCGCAAAAAAAAGAGAAAAAAAAGAAAGGAGAAGAGAAGAAAAAAAGGAGAAGAGAAAAGAAAAGAGAAGAGAAAAGAAAAGAGAAGAGAAAAGAAAGAAGAGAGAGAGAAAGAAAAAAGAAGAAGATACCCCCCCCCCCCCCCCACCTCACTCCCACTCCGGGGTCGGAGGGACCGATTTTGTGTTCCCAAAATTTCCGATAAAGGGTTACTTTTCACGCAACAAAGTCCGGCCCGTAATACACACAAATCCGGCCCGCTCTGACTTTACACACCGAAGATAAAGGGGTGCTTTTAAACTAAGAGAGGGAACATACATGCGCGTACCCTAGATAACACTGAGTGGGTGGGGGGGAGGGGGAAGGTGGGAAGGGGAAGAAAAAAGTCGGGTGAGAAAGGGGGAAAGACAAGGAAATGGCGCTAAGTGACAGTAACGACGAATATTAGGGAAAAACTGTAATCGGGAGATTTGGGGTCATTCCAGAAGGCTTGGAAAACGTTATTGAATAGAGGGGGCCGGGCCGGCCGCATAAAATCTCGAGCCACGGATTCAAGTTAAACGTTACACACAGCCCCTGCTTTTTGAAAAAAATTAAAAAGGGCACAATATTTTGGATGTCTTTCAAATAGAAGCTATATACTAAACAGTCAAATTTTAAATTAACGGTAGGGCCGCTTCACAACTCTTATTTTGCCCTTCATTTGGATTCAGCTCATACCAACTCGCTTGTGCTTATATTTGAACTCATGTTGGTAGTGATAATGGACAGCGGCGGCGATCCTGGGCCCGATAGAGGGACACGTCCCCCCGGAAATTTAGATATTTAGCTAGAAAGAAATATACATGTAGCGGAAAGAACGTACATATTGGACTAAAGGATTTTCTAGAATGCATAATTTCAGCATTCTACATTGCAAAATCTCGCTTGGTCGCTACGCCCCGGCCCTCGCCCGATAACACAAAACTAAGATATGACGCTCCCGGTTGCGATTATTTCATGGTTGGTGTATAAATAGAACTTTTTTTTCCCTTTCATTTCTACTGACCTTATTGTTTGCTATCACAATCATGTTTGTTTCATTTTCCCTTTAAAGCATGCGTAGCTAGGGGCGGTAGGGGCAGTAAGAGGACATAGGACGAAAAAAAGGGGCAGACAAAGAAACATTTTTGACAAGTCTAAAACGGCACAACAAATCATCTTCTTTCTCTAATAATTTAATGAAACATTAAGCTTCTGCACTTTGCGCTGGAGGGGGAAACTGAATTCAGAGAAAGATTAAGAGTCGGGAATGGAACAACGAATTATTTTCTTTCTCTAATAATTTCATTAAACTATGAAAGGTCTAAGCTTCCGCGCCTCGCGCGGAAGGGGGAAAATGAATTCGAACAAGGATTAAGAATCGAGAATGGGACAACGAATCATCTTCTTTCTCTAATAATTTAATGAAGCGTCAGAAGCTTACGCGCTACGCGCGGGAGGAGGAAAACTGAATTCAGACAAGGATTTAGAGTCGAGAATGGAACAACGAATCATCTTCTTTCTCTAATAATCAGGGCTCAAATTAATTTTTTGTCCACGGGGGCTCTTCCCCCCCCCCAAAAAAAAGAGCCCCCTGAGCCTTCTCACGGGGGCTCTTTTAGTGCTGACGGGGGCTCTTATTTTAATACAAATTTACATTGAATTGGTAACCATGAAACTCCTGAATTCCTTGGTATTTAATCATTATCATTTATTTAAGTCGGCATTTTCCCTCTTAGAAATTTACTTGTTACATAGCTGTATACTTTATCCCCGTGATCAGTGGCGGATCCAGGGGGAAAAAAGAAAGGAAAAAAAGGGGGGGAAAGATTTTTTTTTTTTTGCTGTTGAAAAAAAAGTGTTCCCATCCCACTTGTATCACAGAGAAACAACAGTTTAAGTTAAGTCTAACGTTAACGTTAATTTGTTATTAAAATGTAGAGTACAGCCCTTGGCCTTAGGCCTAATTTAGGTCGTAACTGTTACTGTTTGAAAATCTAAAGTAAATTAGACGGTTTTCATGGTTATAGACCTAGTAAGTGAGAAGAAAAAAAGTTTACCCGTCACTGAGACCAGGTCAATCAATCTTTTAGATCCATTTTTAGGGTCTAATGTTAGTAGATATAATGTAGATACAGGCGCGGATCCAGCGGGGGTGAGCGGGCCTTGCCCCCCCCCCCCCCCTCCGCAAAAGAGAGAGAGAGAGAGAGAGAGAGAGAGAGAGAGAGAGAAGGAAAAGAAGGGAAAGGGAAAGAGCAGAGAAAGGAAAAGAAAGAAGATGAAGAAGAAAAGAAAAGGGGGAAGAAGGAGATCGGGGGGAGTACGAAATGGTCTTGCCTCCTAGGCTGTTGCCTCCCCCCGCCCCCGCTAAAAAAAAGAGAGAGAGAGGAAGGAAAAGGAAAAAGGAGAGCTAAAAGGGACCAAAAAAGAGGAAGAAGAAAAAAAGGGTGAAAAGAATTTCGATGCGGTGTTCGAGTAGAATTCTGTAAGATGATGATATACTTTCTCATAGCTTGATGTGACGAGATGTCTCTATCCAGATATCTGTTGATAGTATTATAGAATATAGAAGCCTGAAATGACCTTCTGCTCGTAACCGACAAGTCACCGCATTAAAATTAAATTGCAAATAGTGTTCAACAACACGATGGTGAATGAAACTTTCTAATATTCGAAGATATATGACCTTCAGACCATATTGTTTCATTATTTTTTATTCAATCAATCAACGTCAAAGAATTGATTTATCATCGCTCTTCAATTTATTATTTCACCTTTTAATGTACTTTCATTCTTATGAATCACGAAAGAACACTGAATTGCATTCTTCAATGTTTGTTTTGATTAATTTCCTCCCCTTTCCTTCTCCCTGTTTAATACTGATAAAATTTCAATTTTTCTTAATCAAGGCAAAATATTATTTTCATATTTTCTTTATGCAAGACAGGAAGAGAGAGAGAGA